GAGGTACATATTGTACTTTTTACTCCACTACATCTCAGAGGTACATAATGTACTTTTTACTCCACTTTACAAAACCACGTATCTCCAGATGTGTTGATGTTGAATGTTTGTGGGCATGTTAGAGAAACCTCCTACTTAAGTTAAATAAAGTCTTTTTTGGTCAGATCAGCTAGAAAATGCATCATTTTAAAGTCTATAATGAAATAAAAGTAAATATCCAACAAATAAATGACAAAACATTTAATGTATTGAGCTTTAATAATTTCTCCAATAATTTCACAAAACGTAGGCTAAATATTTACACCATTTATTCATATGATTGTTTCATTTTTTTGTTTAATTTAGTATTGAACGCTCACAGATTACTCTAAAATCACAAAGGCACCTGAATATCATCGTCAGCACAAATAGATCACTAATTCAGTCACGACTCCTTTTTTTGTTAAAATACATATATTAATAATAATAATAGTAATTAAAGCAGAGTACCTTAAAGTGCATTCAATGTTCCACAGACTCCACCTTTTACAGTGATTTAGTGCATTTACGTAAGAGAGGCACACAAGGCACTCATAGGACTCGCTGTCTCATTTGACAGCCATCAGTCCTGCCATGGGACTCAAGGTCTAATTATTTATATATAGAATGTCTTTAGCCAACAAACAGGTGAAATCCTCCTTAGAGAGCCGGTAATGATACGGTATTCCTGATGTCATGTTAAACCTGTAGAAGTGAACATTTGAAGACACAGAAGTTGAAGAGGAATGGAGGAGTTTCCCAGAGAGGCCTCCGAGAAGCTTACGGACAGTAGGAGACGCACCGTATTACTAATGGACACTGACAGAATGTGCTGTGTCGATACGACTCAATATTTGGGATCAAATATAAGTTTGATCACATCGTCATGTCGTTCCTCAAAGCAACTGAATGTCTTTAGAACAACTGAAGAAGCAGAAACAAAAAGGACATTCAAAGTTCATTATCTTGTAACTGCATCATTTCCATCTCAAACTAATTGAGGGTCTTGATGTAATAATTTGTGTGCATGAATTTCTTATGTCAGCTTTATTAAGCAGAGAATGAGAGCAGCATTTATTTTCACAGTTTGTGATCTGTCGTAGCAAAGCCCTTTAAGACAAAGATTCTTCCTTTACATAGACCAGCAGGACTGCTCCTGTCAACTCACTGGTACCCAAGTAAAGCACTTCAAGGAATTATATATATACACACACATATATATACACATACACACACATATACATATATACACGCGTATATACATATATACATACATATATACACGCGTATATACATATATACATACATATATACACACATATATACATATATATATACATATATACACACATATATATATATATATATATATACATACATATATACACACATATATATATATATATATACATACATATATACACACATATATATATATATATACATACATATATACACACATATATATATATATATACATACATATATACACACATATATGTATATATATATATACATACATATATACACACATATATGTATATATATATATATACATACATATATACACACATATATATATATATA